AAGTTTTGGAGAAACTAAGTACTCAAAGGCCAGCAATCATGGAAATTGATAGAGGGGAGACTTGGATGGATCAGATCATTCTATGCTTAAAAGGGGAATTACATGAGGATACCCCTGACTTCAAGATGATCAAGAAACAGGCTAAATGGTTCGTGCTGCATGACAGGACCCTTTATAAAAAATCTTTCACTCACCCGTTGCTCAAGTGCATCACCGCGGAGGAGGGGGACTATGTGCAAGGGGTTAGCCTAGGCCCATAATCACATATGTGCGTAGGAGTTCCAGAAAGAACATTTCAGCAGCTTGATGCTATGCTGAAAAATTCTATATACTCTCGGCCAGACGAGTATGCCCCTTTTTTCTCTCTTTATAAACTTCCCAGCCGAGAGTATCCCTCACTCAACCCCTCGGCCTACGCCCAGCCAAAAGCCTGACTCCCCATATCATACTTCCTATGACCGACTCTCAACCCCTTGACGAGAGGACAATGTAGGTCGTTCTCTACCCTTCCCAAAAGCCAAACTAAATTTATAAACACTCGACCAACCTAATACTAGTATATGGCAAGTCAAGGGTCGAACCCAAAGGAATGAGTAGGTGCAAACTATAGTCAAAATCAAGCTACCTCGAAGATTGAAGTGAGAAAATGGTTGGTACTATGGTAACAAAGCTAGATTGATTAAGTAATTCAAGATGCTAAACACTAGGGATATAGGTTCCACATGCAAGTTCAATAATCATGCTAATTGATAGCTCATTCAATTGATTCAAGCATTGCAAAGGACAAACAATAATAGCAATCAAAAGAATCCAAAAGCCATCTCCTATAGGCCAAGCTAGGGGTCACTATGAATGTCTAATCAAGGCGAATCACAATCAAACTCAATCAATTAAAGCAATTCTCAAATTGATGGTTCATGTCATTAAGAATTGCAATGCAATCTAGATTAATCTTATAGGTTGATCACTCCTAATCTAATTAATCACATGCAAAACTATGTCAACCAATTTAATTGCAACAATTCAATCAATCAATGATCATCAACTAGCACAAATAATCAATCAAGCATGCTTCCCCTTCTCCTTAGCAACTAATCTACTCACTAATTATGGTGTAACCCAAGAACAAATCACTAGAGATTGCATTGATCGTCATTATAAGCCAAAATCAAGAGAAAATAATATTAACTACAATATCAAATTCAAATCCAAGGAAATCAAAACAATCAAACATGAATCTAAGACAAACAAGTAAAGAGATGAACCACAAGAAGAGATTCTCACTAATATTAATGATTGAAGATGAAGAAATCCAAACTTGATTGAACCAATGTTGAAATACAAATCCAAATCCAAGAACTTTTCTCTAACTTCTCTCTCTAAAACTAAGCTAATGAAAATTATCTAAAAGTTAGTTTTTAAAAAGGAATTACAAGTATATTTATAAGCAAAGAAGGAAATCGGGTTCCTCGCACCCTCTCTAAGAAATCTCGTCGGCGCGGAGAAATGGGTACAGAACCCATAACAAACTCCGCGGGCTGTCTAAGCAACACCCGCGCCCGCGGGTCTTCTAGCCAGCGCCCGCAACAAAAGCCACTGAGCCCACGGAAAGGGGGCGGCAAATGCCCTGCTCCCAAAGAGTAATTGGAGGCCCGCGGTCTCTCTAATCTGGAGCACCCTCTCAAATCTACCCGCGCCCGCGGGGAGCCCTCGGAGCAACTGCAGGGAGTTCTTGGTTGATTTTTGTTGTTTTGGTGCAACAAACCTGCACCCCGTGGGTTTTGGCAAAAGCTGATGCCCTCTCCAAGGCCTCTCCATGCAGATTGCTTCCTCCTTGCTTAGTCAGTATAGCTCATCTTGATCCCTTTGCAAAGACAACTCCTAAGTACCTACAAAAGCAAAAAACGGAAAGAAATAAAAGGGTAAAAGAGCCAAATAAAAGGAAAATACGAAGAAAACACGAAAAACACAAAGAAAGAAGGAAAAAGAGGAACTAAAGGAAAAAGGACCAAAAATAAGAGAAGAAAGCATGAAAATGGGATGAAATCATCCAAAAGACTACCCTATGAGTGCCATAATTGACACTCATCACCCCTCAGCCAGGCATTCCCTTTGGTTTCACAGTAGTCTACTACCCTTATAGCTTCTATTCCTCGCCTATGCCTACACCTCAATTTCACTCCTCCGCTAGGCCATGCTAAAATTTTCATGTACAACATACATACCCAACCCCAAATTTGACCTAGCCATATTGAAAAAAATAAAAAATATTTGAAATTCAAAACTCAAACGTTAAAATTCAACAATTCCCAGCAGAAAATTCCAAATTTAAATTCGAAACATTCAAGTAAAAAAACATCAAACATGCATTTGGATCAATAAAAATTCAATAGGAGAATGAAAATCTTCACCTACCTCTTGAAGATCTAGTTGATTTTGGAAGAACTTAAGTGATGTGAACTTGGGTGATGTGACTTCAACACTCTAACTCTCAAGAACTTGGGAGAAAATTAAAGAGAATTTTTGAGAATTTCTCTAAGGAAAATGAAAGAGTGATAAGCAAATGAAGTGAGGAGGGGGTTCATATGTTTAAAGCTAAGGATATTGAAACTCCTCAAAACCCTGGCTCAAATAGGCTTAAGTGATGCTTGAGCCTAGAAAAACCACCATTGAAGGATTAAGCTTAATTACAATCTTAATTAAGCATTCAGCCATCATTAGTTAAACTCTTAATCCCAAGCTTAGCCAAAAATCAAGACAAGACATGCCCTCAGCAATATACATGGAGCTCATCCTTAAGAAAAATATTCAGAAAGGAGAAAAGCTCTTAGTTATCGTCATTCCTCATCTAGCTAAGCTCTCGGATAAATTCTCAAAAAACCGCTCAGTCATCTCAATTAAAGTATTTATAATGCATTGCTTGGGGATTGTTTTCACCCTTGCAACTCGCTTGTGGTTCTTTTTAGCTCTCATGATCACTTGAGGCTCGTTAGCCCTTGGGTACGCCTCAAAATCCACTCCGGTCTACACGACAGCTTCTCTCATCTTCATTCCGCGTCATATCCAAATTTCATGTGATCTCGTTCCCACGTCACGCATGGAGCTAAATGTTTGGGACAAGTCCATTGTCCTAAGCCCATTGACCTATAATTACGAAAATACCTCTCCATGATCCAGTCCATCATTAGTCATAATAAAGTACGGATTTACCCCTAATCTGTACAACCTCTGCCACCTAAAATTACACCTATCAATAGCTCTCCAATCATTAATGAAAGAAAATTTTTTCTAATCCTCTAACCTTCTCTCTCTACTTTATCTCTCTAAAATACTCTATCTACTTTCTCTCTCTAGAAAGTACATTCGCTGACTTAAGCATCGGAGGGGTTTTCTCGGGTCACACCCCCGGGGCACTTACCTTCTCTCTTTTGCAGGCCTAGCTCTCGGACAGCAAGGCAAAGATGAAAGAAATTCGGACATCCATTGGACTTAGCCTTAGGATATTTTGATATTATTACCCTAACACCGTGGAGTATTCTGTTTCCAGAAACAAAACTTATTAGACCTTATTGAACTTATTAGACCATATTGAACTTATTAGAACTTATTGGAACATATTGGATCTTATTATTAGATCGACTTGATTAGAACTTATTGGAACTATTACACCTTATTTAACTTATTGAAACTTATAAAACTTTATTGAATTTTTGTTTATAATCAAACCTTATTGAAATTATTAAACCTTATTAAACTTATTCAGCCTTATTAAACCTATTGTAACTTATCTGAATTGATATAAACTTATCTCAATTTATTATTCATGAAACTTATTTTATAAGATGAAGAGATTGAATAAGCCCTTAGTTTGCATTCATAAAAGCATTAAATTATTTTGCTTATTGTAAACAACCTTCGTTTTTATTTAATTGATACTTTTTGACTTTAGCACTATTCACACACCATCCATTGACCGTGTTTTGTATTTTATACGTAATGGAAAATATAGTTATGTGGGATCTTGTTAAATTCGTCACTTTATATGCTTTGAAAATATCAACGTTTCATAATTTTTACTTATTAATAACTAAATATATTAGTGATTGAATAAGTGCATTAGCAAAGTGACTAAGAAACGTGTGAACTAAAAAGAAACGGAGGAAGTATATTTTAGTTTTTTTTTTTTATATTTATCTTCATAATAATCAGCATTAAAGTTTTAAACTTAGATCTTTCTATTATCTCTAATACATCACATGTTATATACATTGAGTAATTCCCGAGCCATATTCTTTTTATTTTTTTTTGTTTTATTTATTGAAAGATTCATGTTCGGTATTAAAAATCATTAGTAACTAGGTTAGATCCCGTGTCATGCACAATTTTTCACTCTTTGTTAAGGAGTATCAATTTTAAATTATATTTAAATATAAAAATATAATTTGGTTGAAATCTATTTCTTATTTTATCCCGAATAAAGCAACTTAAAATATTATAGTTTTATCTTTTATGACTACATATTATATTTTTTTATTCAAGATTTCTTCTATTTTGAATCTTGATGGTATACTTATTTTAATTTTTTTTCTTCACATTTAATAATTTCATTCACCAATTATCTTAGGTTGAAAGATATATATTCATGAGTCTGATCTTTTAATATAAATTATCATTATTAATCAATAACTAATTACTCATATGAGCTTAGAAATCTAAGTTGGTAAATATCTAAATATATTATTTTACAATTATTTTCCTATACTTTGGAAGAAAACATTTTTAGTACATACCAGAAAAATGGCACGTGTCATTGCTAGTATGTCTTTTAGTATATAGTTATTTATTGATTGTTATAAAAGTCTCTAGATAAGTCATAATTGAAGTAGTAGTAGTAGTTTGAATTTCCTTTTTTACTGATGCATTTGAAAAAAAAAAAAAGTAGTAGTTTTAGAATTTCCTTTTTTGTTAATTTAATTATATATGTTTGGGATATCTATCAGGTAGCATTAGCGTCAGGAGAAGGTACATATGTGAAGGCAGTGAGAGAAGCTCAACTTGGTATCAAATTGCCAAATGTTAAAACTGTGGATGCAAAGGGACTTCGGTTAAAAACAGATCATTTGCACCTTACAACTATGTCACAAGTTCATCTTGGGCTCATGTTGGCTCGTTCTTTTTTAGATATTTCCCATAAGCCTTATGATTCTCTTAGAATAAATGTAGCTAATAATTCGTTAATGTAAGTAATATAAGAGCATCTCCAATGGATTTTTAAAAAGACTTGCTTGCAAACTTAAAAAGTATTAAATTAGTAGCTTGACCATTGAAACAATAATACAATCCTGCTTTGTTGAGCAACACCGCTCACTTGAGCAACACTGCTTGAAATAATTGAAGCAATTTTTTTTTTCTTACAAAAATTATAAGACTTAGTTACTATTAATTGTATTCGTACGTGTGGGACACAATTAAGATATGAGTAGAAGATATATGCTGCTTTTATTTGGGCGCATCACTTTCATTCTTAAAATTTATTTTTTATTAAAAAAACCAAATTATGTTTTTTTTATTATTATATTTTTGTAAATTTTTTTACAAAAAGAATAAATAGGTTATTTTCCTAAATGTGTCCAAAAAAAGAGTTTATTATAAAAAAAAAAACCAATCACAAGTACGTATGATGTATTAAGCATAATGGTTATATATTATTCAAAATTTTGATCTACCATCAAATATAAATAAAAAATAATTGCTTAATTTGGCAAGTTACAAAGTGTTGTAGCCAACCAATGGGGAACTTTGTAGCTTAAAATTATTGTAGTTTAAAAAATATATGATGTGGAAAGCCAAGCTACAATACCTTGTATTTTGCCATTGGAGATGCTTTAAGGATTTTAGCAAAGAATAGTGATAATTTAGATTTAAAACGCATATTGAAAATCTTGACTTGATCACTTTTCTAGAACTGTGCTAGTTTTGACCTTTATGTCCCTATTTTACGAGTATTTTTTTAAGAACAAAACGTTTTGTATGAGACTAGAGTTATTTGAGACCGGACTCATAATAAAAATGGCTTGGGCCTGACAAACCCGATCAAAGCCCGCTCATCATTTTATAAAATTCCTAAATGTTTTCATTTTCATCATTTTCCTCAAATTTCGAGCGCCGTCATTTTCTTAAATTTTGAACGCTTTCATTTCCTCAATTTTCGAACGCCTTTGTTTCCTAAAACTAGATAAAACTCGTGTGTTGCACGATTTAGATAATTTTATTATTATGCATATGAAATAATTTTGTTATCATACATAGAAATTAAATTTTTCATTTGTGTAAAAATGTGTGGCAATAATTTTTTTTTTTTTTAAAAATCTATAATGTAGATTAAAATAATAATTGTTGAAAAAATTAAAATAATAATGACAATTAATGACAACATCAATAGAATTAAGGGGAAACTTTATAGTGTGAGAATGACATGTAGGATAATTTAAGGGATGATGATGTCAGCAATGTTTTGTTTTAGTAATATTTAATAGATTTCAGAGCATTCAAATCTCCAAATTTCAGAGAATTCAAATCACAAAAATGGAGAAATCAAACAACACGATCATAATTGAAGGAGAATCTAATTCACTTATAGAATCAATTTCGAGGTCAATTACTGCTGAAAAAGGTATAATTTGTTTCATAATTTTCAAATCTTATTTAATTTTAGATCATAATTATATAATTACAGATCGCATTGAATTTGTACAATCAATTTTGGGTTTATAAGTTTTCGCAAATCATTATTGCAATTTTGCATGCGATTTAAATTAGCATCCAATCAATTTCGACTTATAATTTTCATGCAAGGCTAATTTAATTTCAGATCGATTTAATTTCAACTTATAATTTGCATGCAAGGCTAATTTAATTTCAGATCGTAGTTAGTTTTGACTTATAATTTGCATGCTGTAGCGAATACTTTCAAGCTTTTAAAAATCCCACTAGCTTGAACCCCACTGTGATCATACACTAAAGTACGGTGGCGTCCAAAAGGGAAGAAGATAGAGCAAAAGAGTCGCCAACAAGTTTTTTAGGAACTTGTAAACCGTTCATAGGATGAAGGTTACACCCCTTAACGATCCAAGAGATCGTCAACACCATAAGGTCATGAACCAAATAAGGGTTCGGGGATGATGGTACAAATCCAACCTAAAAGAGATTGAACCTGCCCTAATAATAGGCCTCTACTTTATTCTGCTCGTATTTATGTGCGCTTTCTAACTAACATACAATCAATAGGATTAACCCTAAACCTGTTTAATATATGTTGGTTGAATTTAATGCACAAATAAACTATTATTGGCGATCCCTTGAATTAATAATCACAATTAACCTAACAAGATTATTAATATCTTATTAAGTGTGGTTGCAAATACCAATTCCCTTTAACATGCAATAAAAGGTGATCAAGCAATAACAATAATAATATGCATATCAAGCAACATAATAATAATCATCATCATTAATAATCATAAATATTAGGAAGAATATAGGAAGCATCATACTTTTAATCATACTTAATATTAAAGATACCCTAGACATGATACTAGGAATCATAAATAACAATCTAAGCATGATATCTACATCATGAAATCAATTAAACCATTAAAGTACTTACTTGGATGCCTCGTACCTCTTTCTAATTACAAAATACACGCGTTAGTAACTTCAAGAAAAAATAATAATCAAAACAATTAAATTAAATAATTGAAATAGAGATTTGGGACCAAACCCTCAGAAATTAAAACCTTTCACGTCTAGGGCGAAGGCAACTTCGAATATGGCTAGGTGTTTCTAGATCTTGCGAATGCGGAATTTTGTATGAAAAAGTAAAGTATAAAACAGAATGCTAAAAGATTAATGTTATTGAAAATTGATGAATGAATGATGTAGATGAAGAGAGAGTTGATGAATAATTTTGTGAATGAAGAGAGTTGATTATTGGTAATTCATAAGTGATTGTTGATGAATGAAACCGGAGTTTTTGATACGATATTTATAGAGAAAAATAATCCAAAAAAGATAATTTATCAAAACAGAGTCTGAAAATCAAAAAACTAACTTGGCGCCAGCCCTGGCTCATTGGCGCCAGGACTAGTGGCTAGCGCCAGGCGCCAATGGCTGGCGTCTGGCGCCAATCCTGATTCCAGGCGCCAAGGCCTGGGGTTGGACGCCAAATTGGATTTCAACGCGTTTTCGAAAATCTGATAAATTTCCGGTACTGGAAGATAAAATAATATAATTTCAGTCGAAAATGCTATTTGATCTTGATTAAAACTATAAAGAATTCTAATTGAATTAAGAATGATAAGACCTTCTAGAATGTTCTAGAAGACCAAAATCATTCCTAATTACATTAGGAATGATAAATCATATTAGGCCCTCCCTAGATCATTGGGCCGTACTTAAAGCTCAAACCAGACCCAGTTTAGTAAATTGGCCATAAATTCCTCAATATTCATCGGAATTGGGCTTATAATATATCGTTGAAAAGGTCTTTGCAAGCCCCATCCAACTACACAACTATTGGACCCATATCATGGACCAACCAAACTGGATTGGCTGTTTTCTTAAAATAAATTTTTCAAAAACAGGGAGAAGAGAAAAGAAAAGAAACTTTCCGCAACACTAGACCTTTCCACACTTTCGTTTCATTCGATTATGATTTGGCGTGAAAGGCACTCATCACTGGGTTTGGTTTTGGGGAGACACAAATGGGTGTCTACAGAAGCCCCCACTTTGACTGAGTTTAGAGAAACGCAAGTTTCGAAAATGAAAGTCAAAGTATCGATAGGGACGGAGAATGATTCAAAACATTCTGCAATCCTAAATCAATCTTATAACACCGATACCTGCAAAACTAACATTAGTTAAACAGATAAAAGAGTTAAGAAACGCGTATCCTGCACCGTCGAGCACACGTCTCTGAAAGTGACCGATTTGCTGCTGTTGTTGTTGTGACGACCTCCTGCAAGCTAGAGAATTCCATCCCGCTTGAAAACCGCTATGCCTTGTAACTGCTTCCAATTAGAAGATTGCTTCGCCTGAAACTACCTTCTCCGCTGTGATAATATTCCACGTCCAAGGGAATATCATCGAAAATTATTTCTCTTGAAATAATTCTCATCTGCATTATGATCAACTTCCGTGCCTCAGGAACTATGATCGAAGACAATTTTGCCCTGAAATTACCTTCAGTTGTTTGTGACAACTTTCCGCAAGCTAGGGAATGATGTCGAAGACATCTTCTCTTGAAGTCATCCTCATTTGATGCGATAATCTCCCAAAGGAAAATACCGAAGATCCTTGCCTGTCGATCCTTAAAAGTTCGCCTGAACTTTGCTTTTGCTATGCCTGTACATCGGCGCTCTTTGCTCTTGAACCTATATGTCGGTGCTTTTTGCTAATGAACCTGTATGTCGGTGCTTTTTGCTAATGAGCCAATGCTTAGGCGCTTTAAGCTAAGTGAAACGATCTTTTTATCAGGTCAATCACTTTATGTAATCAAGCCGATTACCTAATCATGTCAAATTTCTTAGAGGGGCTAACTGGCATACCAAGGAACCCAAAATATATCGCAGAGGGTGGCTGGCTGCTTTGGCGTCGCTGAAAACCAATCAGCGCCAGCCTTACGGCATTAGCGCCATACGCTGAAATTGGCGTCAAGCGCCAAGCACAGAATGTGACGCCAATTCCTAGGGACTGGCGCCAGCACGAGAATCACTTTAAATTCCCGTTTTCAGTTCATTTCGTGCTCTGGTTTGTTGCGAACGCTGCTCGAAAGAAGTCGAAACTTCAATTGATCGTTGCTCATTCGTTTCTCAACCGAATTCGCTCAAATTTGTTGCAAATCAAAGCTCTTCTCATCCATATTCCCGATCTATGTAAGTTTTCCTCCAACTCACACCGGTTTTTACGAATTCTTGGCATGTTCATTCACGAATTTCATGAAAATTCGAAACTTATAATGCTCAATTTGCTTTGTTTATTAGTTTTTATGCCATGAAATTGCTTGTTTATGTTTGTATTTTTCCTTGGGAGTAATTTGAGACTTGTTTGACTCAATTTGGTGAAGAAATGAGCAATCCGCCATTGTTGGACCTCTCAAGGTCGTGAAAAACAATGTGACCCGTTCTTGTTGTTTTTGCTAGAAATTCTTGTTCAATTTGTCACAATAATCACTATAGTGTTACAAGAAATTGTTTGATTGCTTGAAAAAATGCTGTCATGCTCGATTTGAATTTGTGCTCTGTTTTAGTACTACGTACTCTGTTTTTGCGAACATAGTATCATGTGGCTAGGCAAACCTTTAGATACTAAAGAACGTT